CAGCATTTCCCTGGCCCCCATAGAAACCACACAGCCCCCATAGAAACCCCACAGCCCCCATGGCAAGCCCACAGCCCCCATGGCAAGCCCACAGGTCCCACAACAAGATCACAGCCTCTATGGCAATGAAATAAAGCCAAATAACAACAACAACAAAAACTGTAGGAAGTTCACAACTCGTGGATATGAAACAACACACTATTGAATAATGAACAGATCACTGAAGAAATCCTGTGAGAAGTTACAGTATCCTAGAATGAAATAACAAGGGGAGCACACATGCAGAAATCTATGGGACACCATGAAGGCCATCCTAAAAGCAAAGAACCTACATCCAGAACAGAGAACTCAAATAACATAATGACCTACTTTAAGGACTTAGAAAAGCAGGAACAATCAGGCGGTGGCACATGCTTTTAATCTCAGCACTCAAGAGGCAGAGGCAGGCAGATCTCTGTGAGTTCAAGGCCAGCCTGGTCTACAAAGTGAGTTCCAGGATAGTCAGGGCTGCATAGAGAAACCCTGTCTCAAACAACAACAACAAACAAGAGAAAAGAAAGAAAAATAGCAAACCAAACTCCAAAGCAATAAGTGGGGAGAAAGAATTATGATCAGGGCAGAAATTAAATGAAATAGAAGGAACAATAAGAACAAAACAAGGAGTCAATGAAATGAAGAGTTGGTTCATCAAAAAGATAAACAGGTCTGCCAAGTCCTTAGACAAATTATCTACAAGGAAGAATGAAAGAGAATACCCCCCATTAAAAAATTAGAAATGAAAGGGGAGACATAGCAGCAGACACCAAATGGAATTCAGAAAACCCTAAGAGCAAACCTTACAAACACATATTCTAGACAATTGGGAAATCTGAAACAAATGGATGAGTTTCTAGATGCATATGACCAACCAAAATTAAACCAAGATGAGATAAATAATTTAAACAGATCCATAGCCAGCAACAAGGCTGGAACAGCAATAAAAAATTCTTCCAACTTAAAAAAAAATACCCAGGAGGATGCAGGTGGCAGAGCCCATGTGATATGAAAATAGAGGGAATACTAAGGATGGCAAGATTAAAACAGGGAGAGGGTGTGGCCTGGGGGACAATATGATGTCCTAGTTTCATTTATGCTTATGTGATAAAATACCGTGAAAAATGCCACGGGGGGAGAAATGGTTTAGTTAAGCTCACAATGTCAGGTTCCAGTCCACCATTTTTAGGGGAAGTTGAGGTGGCAGGTACTTGAAACAGCTAGTCATATCCAGACAGCAGCAGGAGAGAGAGAGAGAGAGAGAGAGAGAGAGAGAGAGAGAATGCATGCATGCTTGTGTTCAGGCCACCTTCTCCTCTCCTCTTAGAGTCTAGAACTCAAACTCAGCGGGGGTGGGGAGTTCGTCCCACTTTTAGGATTGGGTTTCCCACCTCAAACAATGTGATCAGGACAACCCCACACCAATGTGTCCATAAGAAAACCTGATCTAGACAGTCTTGCTTAGAGCCTCTCTTCCCAGGTGACTCTAGAATATTGCAAATTGACAACTGAGTTACCAAAATGAAGGATGTAAGAAGTCATATGAAGACCCACTCCTTCATTAGTTAATTTAAAAATAAACCAAAAGAAATTCTGAATAGAGGTGCCATAGATAGGTGGATAGTGGCAATCCCAGACAGTAGTGCTGACCTCAGCCTTGATCAAAGACACCTCTCTTTACAAAGAGTGGCGGTAAGTGCAGGGGCTCATGGTCAAGGTGCCAAGAGCAAGCAGCAGCAGAGCTTTAAGCAGAACACTCCCATCTCCTCCTCCAAGAGAACACTACTGAAGAAGGGCAGAAAGAACAACGGGGAGGAGGGCCATCTTAAGGGCATGTAGAGACTCTCTGCTTCTGTGGGCAGACAAAATGCGACCAATCATTTCCTGTCCCAACTGCCATGCCTATCCCTGCCTGCTGCCATGCCTTCCTGCCATTATGGACTCTTCAGGAACCAATGAGACTGCTGTCTTGGGTGGGACTGAGGCTTACAGGATTGTCCTAAACTGTGACTTCTGCAGCTCTTGACGTCTAGTTCTGCGACTGGCATCTGACTGTGTCCATGTGTCTGTCTCATCTCAGAGAGGAAGCGAGGAGCCCAGCTGGCCTTGAGCACCAAGCCCTTTCCCAACAGTAGCCTGACTTTCTGCCAGTCAATGTTCCTGTTCCCACACTGACAGGGCTGGGATGTCACTGCTTCATAACTCACTGAACTGTAAAATTTCACTGAGATGCAGGTTTTTATTCCCCTTTTGACAATAAGACTGTGTATGTGGGTTTGTTGTCTATTGTGACACACAGTTCCATCAAAAGACAGGAAGAGTTATAAAACTTGGCAGAAAATAAACCTGAAAATTTAACAGGTTAAAAAAATAGAACATGATTTGCTCTGGCACTCATAGAACTGTGTGGTTGCCTATGTGGAACCGGCACAAGACTAGACTCAGGCGTTCACAGAGGGGACAGGACTCACTCATCCCTATCTCACCCAGGAGAACCAATGGCAGCCAGTGACTGATGGGGACAGACAAGTGATACAGCCACTGGAGAGTTACTCATTTCCCAGGGGATCTATGCCTACATGAGTGGCTCTGGATAAGTCCAATGGGTCACAAGCAAAAGCAAAAATTCATGAAAGTGTAATAGGAAACTTTACATGAGGGAGAATGGTGGTGAGGGTAGAAGAAAGATAGGATGGAGAGATGAATGTGACCAGAATAAAACTGTCAACAATGTAAATTAATAAGCATTGGCCAGTGTCCTGAAATAGACCATGAATAATCAAATCAATTTGGTTCTGGACCTGGAGAGAAAAGAGAGCAACATAGAGGGAAAAGCCAGAAGACATGCATGACAACATAGACATGACATACATGCCAACATAGAGGGAAAAGCCAGAAGACATGCATGCCAACATAGACATGACATACATAGACTTGACAACATAGACATGACATACATAGACTTGACAACATAGACATGACATACATAGACTTGACAACATAGACATGACATACATAGACTTGACAACATAGACATGACATACATGCCAACATAGAGAGAAAAGCCAGAAGACATGCATGACAAAGTCAGCAGCATGGAAGAGAAAAACTCAGTAAGGAAACTGGGACTTACAAGAAATTAGAGAAGTTGGAAACTAAGAACCTAAAGAATCAAATAAAAAAACCACAGTGGAAAACATCAGCAATAGACACACAGAAGAAAAAAAAAACAAGCAGGAGTGCAGGATGAGGTTAACGAACCACTACATTGAGACACTACTAAGGATAAAAATGAACACGATCACAACTTCCAAGAACTCTGTGATATATTCAAAAGACCAAACTTGAAATCTCCAGGAGAACAAAAGCTGAGACTAAACACTGAAGGCGTAGATAATATATTCCATGAATTACAGCAGAACTTCCCCAACCAAGAGTTAAAGAAATAGACACACAAATGCAACAGGCCTTTGCAACCCCAAATAGACATGACCAGAGAAGAGCTTCACTATGATATATTATAGACAGGAAGACAAAAATAAAAAGCAAAGAAGCTGTCTTAGGGTTTTTATTGCTGTGAAGAGACACCATGATCATGGCAACTCTTATAAAGGAAAACATTAGCTGGGGCTGACTTACAGTTTCAGAAGTTCAGTCCATTATCATCCATGCAGCGAGCATGGCAGCATGCAGACAGATGTGGTGCTGGAGAAATAGCTGAGAGCCTTACAGTCTTGCAGGCAATAGGAAGTAGACTGAGACACTGGGCAGTATCCTGAGCATAGAAAACTTCAAGGCCTACTCCACAGTGATGCACTTCCTCCAAGAAGGCCATACTGCCTAATAGTGCAACTCCTT